TGAAAGAGGAGAGTGAAAAAGTTGGCTTAAAGCTCAACATTCAGAAAACTAAGATCATGGCATCTGGTCCCATCACTTCATGGCAAATAGATGGGGAAACAGTGGAAACAGTGGCTGACTTTATTTTTCTGGGCTCCAAAATCACTGCAGATGGTGACTGCAGCCATGAAATTAAAAGGTGCTCGATCCTTGGAAGAAAAATTATGACCAACCTAGACAGCATATTAAAAAGCAGAGACATACTTTGCCAACAAAAGTCTGTCTAGTCAAAGCTATGGTTTTTCCAGAAGTCATGTATGGATGTGACAGTTGAACTATAAAGAAAGCTGAGCACCAAAGAACTGGTACTTTTGAACTGTGGTGTCTGAGAAGACTGTTGAGAGTCCCTTGGACTGCAGGGAGCTCCAACCAGTCCATCCTAAAGGAAATCAGTCCTGAATATTCATTGGAAGGACTGATGCTAAAGCTGAAACTCCAATATTTTGGCCACCTCATGCGAAGAGTTGACTCATTGGAAAAGACCCTGGTGCTGGGAAAGATTGAAGGTGGGAGGAGAAGGGGATGACAGAGGATGAGATGGTTGGATGGCATCACCGACTCAATGCACATGAGTTTGAGTAAACTTCCCTGGTAATGGACAGGGAAGCCTGGCATCCTGCAGTACATGGAGTCGCAAAGAGTTGGACACAACTGAGCGACTGAACTGAACTGATATACATTATTATCTAGTTATAAGGATTAAGATTATTATTATTTCTTCTTTGACATATGAGTTATTTAGTAGTACATTTAAAAAATTTCAAATGTGTGATTTAAATTCTTTTGGTCATTTTAAAAGAAGCTTTATTTATGTTTAATTTACATTGAATTCTCACACTGTAAGATAGCAATTCAATGATTTTTGGTAAACTTATACCAGGCCCACATCCAGTTTTAGGACACTTCCATGCCCGATTGCAGTCAATTCTCATCTCCAGCCTCACACTCAGAAAATGACTGATAGAATTTCTGTCTCTGTAGGTTTGCCTTTTCTAGGAATTTTGTATAAATAAATCAGTTGGTCATAAATATAAGTTGGGTTGTTCGAGGGCCTTTTTTTGGACTCTGTATTGTGTTCCATTGATCTCTGCTATGTTTAATCAACCAGCACTGCAGAAATACAAAGGATCATAAGAGACTACTACAAGCAAATATACACCAATAAAATGGATACATTAGAAGACAGGGGCAAATTCTTAGAAAGGTACCACCTCTCAAGACTGAACCAAAAAGAAACCAAATTTGAATTAACAGTATTGAAAGTGAATCAATAATTTAAAAACTCCCAGCAAACAAACAAATACCAGATGCCTTCACAGTTGAATTCTACCAAATATTTAAAGAATAGTTAACATCTTTCTGAAATTATTCCAAAAACTTGCATGGGAACACTTCCAAACTCACTCTCTGAGACCCCATCACCTGATACCAAGACCAGACAAAGATATCACAAAAAAGAGAAAATTACAGGGCAGTATCACTGATGAACATAAATGCAAAAATCCTTAACAAAGTACTAGCAAAGAGAATCCAACAATGCATTAGGAGGATCATATATCATGATCAAGTGGGATTCATCCCAGGGATGCAAGGATTTTCCAAGGTCCGTAAAATGATCGGTGTGATACATTGTATTAACAAATTGAAAAATAAAAACAATATGACCATCTCAATAGATACAGATGAATTTTTATAAAATTCAACTTCAGTTTACAATAAGAGCTCTCCAGAAAGCGGGCACAGAGGGAACATACTTCAGTATAATAAAGGCCATAACTAACATCATACTCAATGGTGAAAAGCTAAAAGCATTCCTTCTAAGATGAGGAACAAGACAAGGATGCCCACTCTTGCCACTTTTATTCAACATAGTTTTGGAAGTCCTAGTCATAGCAATTGAAGAGGAAAAAGAAATAAAAGGAATCCAAATTGGAAAGGAAGAAGTAAAACTGTCATTATCTGCAGATGACATGATACTATACATAGAAAATTCGAAACATGCTACCAGAAAATAAATCAATACCATACTGTCTTAATGGCTGTAGTTTTTAGTATACTTTTAAATTAGGTAGAGTAACTTGGTTTTGTTGTTCTTCAAAAAAACTTTTTGACTATTCTAGGTTCTTTGCCTTTCCATATACATTTTAGGATCAGCTTGTCAAATTGTATGAAAAACCTTGCTGGGATTTTGATAGGGATTGCATTGAATATATGGGTCAATCTGAGGATAATAGCCATATTAACAATATTGAGTCTTTGAATCCATGAATGTGGTATGTCTTTCCATTTATTAGGTCTTCTTTAATTTCCCTGTGTAACATTTTGTAGTTTTAAGTATACATGTTTTGCACATTTTTAGTCTTTTCAAAATCTTAATTGGGATTTGTTGAGCTTCTTTTTTATAAATTAAAGTTTTGTGTTTTCTTTTTTCCATGAAATTCAGGTAGTTTGGGGCCATTATTTTCTTCAGCTATTTTTTTGTCCCCATTTTTATTTTCTTTCCTTTCCAGAAATCCTACTATATGTACGCTGGTATACTTGATGTTGTGCCAAAGGCCTCTCTGAGTGTGTTTATTTTTCTTCAAGAATTTTTTCTCTGTTTTCTCCAGATTATATTATTTCTGTTTCTGTAGTTTAAGTTCACAGGTGCTTTCTTGTGCCATATCAAATCTCTAGAATTTCCATTCGGTTCTTTTTAAAATTGTTTATTTCTCCACAAGCATTCCCTATTTGTTAAGTCATTGTCATCATGTTTTTAATTCTTTGAACAATAATTTCTGTTTAATTTGTCAAACATATTTAAAGAGCTTCTTTGAAGTCTTTGCTGTATTCAACATCTAAACCTGTCCAGAGTCAGTTTCTATTGACCACTTTTCCCCCGTGAGTATGGGTCACATTTCTGTGGGTTTTTTTTTTCTCTTAGTTTTTTGGATGTCTTACAGTATTTCTGTTGAAAATTGTGCATTTTCAGATTAATGTACTCTAACAACTCTGGGTTTTTATTCTCTTCTCAACACTGTTGTTGTGTTTTCTTAAAAATAACTTGCCTGGACTTAGATTGTAGAAATCTGTGTGTCACACACTGTGTGACTGTTGATGTCTCTGCTGTTTTTTAATTCTGATTTTTACCTTTTAACCTGCCTTCACTGGGCTTACCCATATGTCTGCATAGTTTGCTTATCAGTTAATGATTTGGGCTTTCATCCTCTGCTGATGAATCTATGTATGGTTTGGGGAGTGTGTTCAGAGTTCAGTCAGATTTCAAGTCTGCCTTGGTTTCACTTTATGCTAAGCTCTCTCAGGTTTTTCTCCCCACACGTGTATACATGTATGTTTCCCAGTAAACCAAGGATGTTTAGAGAGCTTATCTAGCCATTCTGTAGCTGTCTCATTTTGAGGTTCTTCTTGTCAAATTTCTGAACTCTTCCACTCCTGGCTGCGTCTAGGATCACAATCCCAGACCAGCAGAGCTGTGTGTTTCCCCCATTCATCTCTTGCTGAGTCCAATACTGTTTAAAATTTATTCTTTAAGATTTTTATTTAGTTTTTTGAATCAATTACTTTTATTGACAGTGCTGCTGGCCTGGATTATCAACTACTATTCCAAATCAAGTCCTTATCCTCTGGTAGCAAGATCCTTTTTCCCCATAATCCTCATGGTCTTGATAAAGCTATTACACTGACTGATCTGAAAGGGAGTTAGGAGCAGCCAGAGCAAGAAAACTACAAGTTCCTCTTTTTACCCAAATTTCTAGATGCTTATAATAAACAAATATTCCTCAATTTATTATGCATTTTTATTTCCAGGGCTCTGAAATGGTTGCTTTTGACAGTTTTTGAGTTTTTTTCCAATTTATGCTTATGTTGGGGGATGAGGATTTGCCGACCTCCTTATTCCATCATATTCCCATCTCTCTTATTCCTAAATTAATTGTAATCAGAGTATATAGTCTGTACATTACCTGTCCTTTGAACTTGGTGATTTTCTTTATGTCCTAGTTAAGCAGTCAGTTTTTATAAAGGTTCTACCTGTACTTGAAAAGATGAAAGTGTCTGATTTTGGGGTGCAGAATTTTTTGATTTGGCTATTAAATCAAGCTTTCTAATTCAAACATTATATATATATTTTAACAACCAACACTTTTATTTTCATTTATTTTCTGCAGCATTTATTCCTGGGCCATAAGTTTTTGTTTCTTCAGTTTCTTCTGGGATTTCTTTTTCTTCTGTGCCACCTCCTTTTCTGGTTTAGGAACTATCTGTTCTTTTTCAGTAAGGATCATCTCAATGTGGCAGGGAGAGCTCATGTAGGGGTTGATCCTGAGCTCTGTAAGTCCTGTGCCACGTCTTGGGGGCTTTGTTCACCTGGATGTGCTCAGTGACCAGAGAATCTACATCCAAGCCCTTAAGTTCAGCATTACTCTCTGCATTTTTGAGCATGTGCAGTAAAAATTCAGCACCTGTTTTTGGGCCGCCGACCCTGCATCCAGCTCCACTGTTTGGCCTGTGCACACCTCCCAGCTCCACCATTGTAACGACAGAATGGCACACACTGCTTCTTTAAAGTGACATCCTCATGAGACAAGTGCTCGGGGCTGGTGCACTGGGATGACCCAGAGGGATGGGATGGGGAGGGAAGGGGGAGGGGGGTTCAGGATGGGGAACACATGTAAATCCATGGCTGATTCATGTCAATGTATGGCAAAAACCACTACAATATTGTAAAGTAATTAGCCTCCAACTAATAAAAATAAATGAAAAAAACAAAACTAAACAAAAAAAAAATAAAGTGACACCCTTATACTTGGTGGCTTTTCGGATATCCATACCAATTATGGCCTGGGCAGTTCCACAAGTGTTCTTAAAGTGAACACAAAGATTTGAACCTCCTGATTTGCATGATTTTGTGGGGTTTTCTGGGTCGAGTGAATAGCGCACTATTTTTAGAGGTCACCTCAGGCCACTTACTGGAAAGGCAAACATTCTAAATCTTTACTAATTTTTCATCTGCTTAATATGCCAATAATAAAAGAGTTGTGTGAAAATCCCCTACTATCATAGGGAAGTTATAATGTTTGTCATACAATTCTATTTTTCTTTAATATTGCCTGCAGAGACTGTTTTCTATGTTTTTTTATTCCTTCCATTAGTTCAGATAGTCAATTTTTTGTGCCCCTTTGTGCACCATAGAAAATACATGGCAATCAACCTGTTTGATACTAAACAGTACACTAAATAAAAAGGATACTAAATTTGATTCCTTATAGCCAGAAGCTTATCATCTAAGATAAGTAAATCTGCCACAGAACTTGCTTTATCACCCAGGAGTCTCAGAAACTATAGTAACACTTGGAACCATCATTCTCTCTGAGAAAGTCTAAAAGATGTAGGCATGTATAACAAAAGAAGTCTCTATTTCTGCTTTGGAAGATAACTTTCTCTCTCCCACAAGGAAGAAAAAAATTAAAAAGAAAATTAAAAGACATTTTTTTTTTCACTGGTTTATAAAGACCTACTGTTCAAACTCATGATATAAAGAGATATAAAAGACATACATAAAAGAGTTCACCCTCTGCCGATTATCAGGAAAATCTGTATCAGCAAAATTCAGATTATAATTACCTTCTTCTTTTGTTCTTCCCCAGCCACTTATAAAACATGTTGTGTTTTTGTTTAGTCTTTGGAAAACACCAAAAGGTAGACAAATAGGTTGAATGTAATTATTATAACGCACTGCTTTTTTTAAGTAAAAAAGTGCAATATCATTATCATAAGATTCCACATTGAAGTCTGGATGGACAATGATTGCATTAACTTTGATCCTCTTGCTGTGTGGCTCACTCCCTTTTATATTATTAGTTCCAATCACAGCTCTCCACATTACAGGATTTCTGAAAGAAAGTAAATGCTTTTGTTATAAACATGGTTATTTAAGTAAATATTTTTTCTCCCACTAGTTTTTGTTTTTCTCATGTTAGATTAATAATAATAAAAATTAACCCTACTTTCATCTGACAAAGTCATATCAAGGAAAAACCTAACTACTGTGATATAGGAAAGGAGAAAAAGATCAGTGGGACAGAAAGTCTCAAACAGATTCAAGTACCTGAGAATTTAATATATGGTAGCAGTTCTTTGGAACTAACAAACAAGTTTGAAAAGTGAAATAAAATTAAATCTCTGAAAAATACTAAACAGTAAAATAAACTCCAAATAGATTAAATATTTAAACACACAGATCTTTTAAATAAAGACTTATCTTTCAGAGATACATAAAGTGGTATGTCTTGAGATTTCTTTCAAAATAATTGGAGGGGGAGTTGGCAAGAATAAAGATGAAATAAGATCAGGCATGAGCTGATGAACTGAAGCTGCATAATATGTATTGGGAATTCACTAAACTATTTACTTTTTAACATTTTTTAAATCCTTGAATAAAACATTTGGATGTTAAATTAGGATGAGAGGTTTAAAACTTAAACCAGAAAGAAAATATAGATGAATATATAACTTTGGTGTTGGGAAGGACTTTATATATTCCACTGGACTGTATCTTTGTGAGAAAGGACTTTATAAAGCAAGACACTAAATGTAAAAGAAGCAACTAATGGATCTTGACAGTCTTTAGAAGCAAAAGCAAGCAGAAATCAAACTAAACCAAAAAATCTTTTGTAGGTCAAAAATCAGCAATTAAAGCCTCAAGTGGTTAATAGTTACTGCATTTGAATTTGGTTTGGAGGAACTATTTACTTTATACCCTGTTGTTTACAAATGGTGAAGCTCCTCTCACCCTTCAAATTGGCAAACCGTATGTATGCATATTTGATTATTATGCTCAGTACAGACAAGAGTCAGAGGAACATAAGTTACTCTTAGTCATTGGGGAAAATATAAATAGATGGCTACTTTGGCAGCATGTACCAGTAACCTATAAAAGCTACGTTGTATTTGACACTGCATTTCAGCTTTCTAGAGTTTATTCCAAGGAAGTAGAAGATATTTAACTATCTTAAAAGTGGACTAGGTAACCTCTAAAAACTCTGTAAAAATATTTTAAAGTCCTAGTTCTATTGTGTTTAAATGCTTTAAGCTACTTTTAAATACCTGTATACAGGTCAGGAAGCAACAGTTAGAACTGGACATGGAACAACAGACTGGTTCCAAATAGGAAAAGGAGTACATCAAGGCTGTATATTGTCACCCTGCTTATTTAACTTATNACAGAGGATGAGATGGCTGAATGGTATCACTGACTCGGTGGACATAAGTTTGAGTAGACTCTGGGAGTTGGTGATGGACAGGGAGGCCTGGCGTGCTGCGATTCATGGGGTCCCAAAGAGTTGGACACGACTGAGTGACTGAACTGAACTTTTAAATAATGTTTCTTTTCTTTCTTGAATTAAATTATCTTTATTTTAAAGATAAAGGTAAAATTAATTTATCTTTCTTGAATTAAAATTTTTTCAGTTTTATTGAGAAATAATTGACATACATCATAGTATAAGATTAAGGTATACTGCATATTGGTTTGATCTACATATATTATAAAATGATTACCACAGTAGGTTTAATTAACATCCATTATCTCATTTTTATGCAATAAAAAGGAAAGAAAAAATTCTTGTGGTGAAAACTCTTAGGACATACTCTCTTAACAATTTTCCTGTATATCACACAGCAGTCTTACCTACTATACTCATCATGTTTTACGTTGTTCCTAGTTCTTATTTGTCTTATGATGGAAGTTTGTACCTTTGACTACCTTTCCTCCAATATCCCTTCTCCCCACAGCCTGCCTCTGGCAACAGCCATAAATCTCATCTCTTTTTCTCTGAATTTGGTGGGGATTTTTTGTTTTTCTTGGATTCTACTTATAACTGAGAACATGCAGTATGAATTTGTCTTTCTGTCAGACTTACTTCACTTAGCATGATGCCTTCAAGATCCACCCACAGTGTCACAAATGGTAGGATTTCCTCATTATTTATGGCTAAATTACACACACAGCACATTTCTTTACTTTTTTATCCATTCATCCATCACTTGTCACTTAAAAGCTGTTGTAAATAATTCTGCTATGAACAGGGGGTGCAGATATCTTTTTGAGTTAGTGTTTCTTTCCTTTTGGATATCGTCCGAGATAGAATCGCTGGATCATGTTATAGTACTATTTTTAATTTCTTGAGAACCCTCCGTACTGTTTTTCCATAGTGGATATACCAATTTACACACTCTTATGGGAGTTCACATGTGTTTCTTTTCCTCCACATCCACACCAGCATTTGTTATCTGTCTTTTTTGATGATGGCCATTGTAAGGTGATATTTCGTTGTGGTTTTAATTTACATTTCCCTGATGACTAGTGAGTTGAGCGTCTTTTCAGGTACCTGTTGACCATTCATATATCTTCTCTTGGAAAATATCTATTTAGATTCTATACCCATTTTAAAAATCTTATGATCCTTTGTATTTCTGTGATATAAGTTGTACTATGTCCTTTTGCATTTATAAGTTTATTGATGTGGGTCCTCCCTCTTTTTTCCTTGGTAAGTAAGGGTTTGTCAATTCTGTCTATCTTTTCAAAGAACCAACTCTTAGTTTGGTTAATGTTTTATATATTTTTGGTATCTATTTAACACTGTGCTAATCTTTATTATTTCCTTCCTTCTAATTTTAGGTTCAGTTTCTCCTTTTTCTAGTTCCTTCAGGTACAGAGGTAGGTTGTTTATTTGGTATCATCTTGCTTCTTTATATATGCATTTATTGCCATGAACTTCTCTCTTAGAACTGCTTTTGCTGCATAAGTAGTGTTTCCATTTTTGTCTCAAAATCCTTTTTGAATTTCTCTTTTAGTTTCTTCTTTGATCCATTGGTTTCCTAGGAAAGTATTGTTTAATTTCCATGTATTCATGCATTTTCCAATTTTCCTCTTTTTATTGATTTCTACTTTCATGCTATTGTGGTCAGAGAAGATCCTTGGTATGATTTCAGTCTCCTTGAATTTGCTGACTTGTTTTGTGGCCTAACATATGGTCTGTTGTAGAAAATGTTCCATGTGTACTTGAGAAGAATGTATAATTTGCTACTGTTTGCTAGAAGGTTCTGCCTATTGTCTGTTAAGTCCTTCTTGATGTATAGCATTGTTTAAATCTGCTGTTTCCTTATTGATTCTTTCTCGATGATCTGTCAATTGTTAAGATCCCCAACTAAACTCCCCAACTATTACTGAATTCCTATTTATTTCTCCTTTTAACTCTGTTAGTTCTTGCTTTATATGTTTAGACACTCCAATGTTGGATGCATAAATATTTACTGTTATTATATCTTCTTGATGGCTTGACCCCTTTATTATTGTTGTTGTTCAGTCGCTAAGTTGTGTCTGACTCTTTGATGGACTACAGCATGCCAGGCTTCCCTGTCCTTCACCATCTTCTGGAGTTTGCACAGATTCATGTGCATTGAGTGGGTGATGCTATCTAACCATCTCATCCTTTCCTACCCTCTTCTCCTTTTCCCTTCAATCTCTCCCAGCATCAGGGTCTTTCTATTGTATGCTGATCTTTTCTTGTCTCTTTTACCATTTTATGCTTAAAGTCTATTTTGTCTAATATAAATACCCTTGCTTCTTAGGAGGTTACCAATTTCTTGAAATATCATTATCCATCCCTTCACTCTCAGTCTATGTGTGCCTTTAAAAAAAATTTTTTTAAAATGTATCTATTTGGCTGCTTCAGATCTTGGTTGCTACACATGGAATCTTTGTTGCTGCACATGGAATCTTCATAGTCTCACATAGAAACTTTCACTGGTTATGTGTGCTGTCTGGTTGTGGCATGCAGGCTCAGTTGCTCCATGGCATATGAGATCTTAATTCACTGGAATTGAACTGCACCCCCTGCATTGCAAGATAAACTCTTAGCCACTGAACCACCAGGCAAGTCCTCTCTGTGTGCCTTTAAAGCTAAAGTGAGTCCCTTGTAGACAGCAAATTGTTGGATAAAGACTTCCTGAACAAACAAAAGCTGAAGGAGTTCATTACTACTAGACTAGCCATACAAGAGAATTCTAGAAAAACATCTTCTTTGGCTTCATTGACTACGTTAAAGCCTTTGTGTAGACCACAACAAACTGTGGAAAATTCTTAAAGGGATGGGAATACCAGACCACCTTACCTGCCTCCTGAGAAACCTGTATGCAGGTCCAGAAGCAACAGTTAGAACTGGACATAATGGACTGGTTCAAAATTGAGAAAAGAGTATGTCAAGGCTGTATATTGTCACCCTGCTTATTTAACATATATGCAGACTACATCATTTGAAATGCTGGGCTGGATGAATCACAAGTTGGAATCAAGATTACTGGGAGAAATATCAACAACCTCAGATATGTAGATGATAACCACCCTAATGGCAGAAAGTGAAGAGAAACTAAAAAGCCTCTTGATGAGGGTGAAAGAGGAGAGTGAAAAAGCTAGCTTAAAACTCAACATTCAGAAAACGAAGATCATGGCATCTGGTTCAGTCACTTCATGGCAAATAGATGGGGAAACAATGGAAACAGTGACGGATTTTATTTTCTTGGGCTCCAGAATCACTGTGGATGGTGACTGCAGCCATGAAATTAAAAGACATTTGCTCCATGGAAGAAGAGCTATGACAAACCTAGACAGTGTATTAAAAAGCAGAGACATTACTTTGCTGACAAAGGTCTATGTAGTCAAAGCTGTGGTTTTTCCAGTATCATGTATGGATGTGAGAGCTGGGCCATAAAGAAGACTGAATGCCGAAGAATTGATGCTTTTGAATTGTGGTGTTGGAGAAGGCTCTTGAGTCCCTTGGACAGCAAGGAGATCAAGCCAGTCAATCCTAAACGAAATCAACCCTGAATATTC